TGTAGTGATGGGGCTTGGCACATAGTTGGTATTCAGTAAGCATTCATTTCTATTTTTCTATCACCTGCCTCTTTGTGCTTCAGTTTCCTTAGCAGTGAAGTGGGGCTAGTAATGCCAATAAGTTGGACTTACAGGTCTGCCCTTCAGGCATGTTACTTGTGATTATTAGATTTCTTCTTTCTGTTTTCTCTTCTCTCTTCCCCAAACTCCTCTCTAGGAAAGAGCCATCCTGTAGTTCAGTGACATGGGGCAAGAGAGGGAAAACACTGCCCTGAACACCTCACTGTGTCCTGGCTGCTGCTCACCTTGGGTGCTCTTGGCTCTAGGGAAAGAGAGGGTCTCTCGTTTGAAACTTGCCAGGCCCAAAGACCAAAGTACCCCAACTGCTTTTTCAGCCAAGGCAGAGGTGACATCTGGCTTGGTAATTTTTGTTTCTCAGGCCAGCTAACCACAGGGACACAGAAGAAATCCCAGTTTGTTGAAGGCTTTGGATAGCAGACCACTGAGATGGGCTCATTAGTGTCCACTGAAGGGCTCCGTGTAGGAAGTGTCTGTGTTCAATTGTTCAATAAATAACAGTGGATTTATTGTTCTTGGGCTAGGGGTGGGAGGGCTAGTGTGTATGAGAGGGTGCTGTGAGCCCCACACCACCAGAACCACACCCAGACATTGTTTTGTTCCTTAAACCCTCAATGTTCTGAGAGACAGTCTTTGATCTCAGACTGTGCCTAGATTCTAAGACAGCTTATGCAGGGATTTAGTTTTTTGCTGGGGACCATGTCTTAAAATGCTTCCCCACCCAGACTAACTCCTCTACTCTTGTCAAGCTGAGGGGGCTGCCTGGGAACTTTCTGCTGACTTTGGAAGCTTTATTTTCAGGTTCTTGCTTTCCAGAATAGGTAACCCTCTTCTTCACATTGAGATTGCAAAGGCCAAGCACAAATTTAGGGCATTGAGTGCCCACTAGGTTGCACATCCATTGGGCCCTGCGTGGCAGTGTGTCCGAGCCTGCAGCTCATCTTACACACTTGTGTCCCAAATTAGTCTAAGGGAGAATAAGGGTTCTTTTTTGGTCAAGACTTCTTCCCTATCACCTTGAGGCCCCAATTAAATTATTACCTTTACCTCCTCCCTACCTGTGTTACCTCCTCCCTACCTGTGACACAACAGAAAAGCAGGAAAGCACAGACACATGACCCTGTCTTCATGACTCATATTTTCTTCTAAGTTATGTGGTGGCAAGAATAGAAGTCCCTTTGTGTTTGCTTTTCTTTCTAATTTTTTTTTAAACCTAAGATTATTTGTCTCCACTGTGAAGATCAGGGTACCTCAGGCTGCTATCTGGAGAAGCAGCCAAAGTGGAGTGGCAGAAACCCTAAGCAAAGATTCTGGAGAAGTAGGTTCCAGTTTGGTTTTAGCTGGACATCTTTAGATTTTAGGAGCCCCTTTGTTCTGGGGTGATGCTGTATCCAGGAGGGATGAAGCATAAACAACACTAGTCTCTAACATGTCTATTCCTAACCCAGGCTGGGTCCTTTTCTACCCACTGATTTATTTAAGAAACCTTTCTTTAAGAAATATTTGAATTAAATATTTGGGCTAATGGGCCAGGCTCTGAAGATGGTAGATTGAACATGATCTGTGAGAAACACTGGTTTATTTACTTTACAAATTTTTCCCAGTTGTGTGAATGAAAGGGAACTCCTAGCTTGTGGAATATTTTCTTAGAGTCCCACCCCTTTCCTTAGTTTTCTCCTTGGGTACTTTCTTAGAAAAGCCCTGTTGTGATCCTGCCCCACCTTGCTGAGAACCTGTAGGCTGGCTGGCTGCTGTCTACAGGATTAAGGTCAGGCTTTCTAGTATAGCTATCAAAGCCCTCTACCTACCTTCCCAGCCTCCCTGCCCACTTTTCATTCTATAGGCGTCTTTCATTCTGGAGTAGGCCTGCATGCTTGCTTCTCAACAGGTCATCTGCATCTCCTTCTGGGCCATTGCATGTATTGGTTTCTCTACCTGGGGCATTTAGGTGTCCTTCCTCTCACACCCATAGTCTCCCCTTTTCAAATTCCAGCTTATCTTTAGAGAACAGTGAAGATTACCACTTTGAACTGTGGTTCCTTATTTCCACAAAATATTTCTTCTGTTCTGCTATGGTACTTCTCAGGGTATCCCTTGTATATTAGAGTTTTCCTGTAATTCAGTAAGGGCCTCGGGGCAGGGACTGGTTCTTTAGCTCTACTGCCAACCATAGTTCCTTAAACATAGTGTTCCATTAATATTGGGTGAACTGAAATACATTTATAGGAAGCTCCTTAGCCTAGAGTCCTTGGGCCTCCATGGGGTTCATGAATATAATTTGAAGTGGGAAGGATCTATCAACTTGGATGGAGGAAGATTACGTGTTTGCTTTCATTAAACTATCACTGAAATTTAGCCCCTTTTTCAGTTACAAATATAGGCAAACAATCAAACCCAAGCAATAGTAATGGCAGTAACCTGTAACTTTGTCACTGGTGGGAATCTAAGGTACTTTTATATCATGATTTAAATTACAGATTTTTCAAAATATCATTAATGCTCAATGTAAAATTATAATTACAGTAGTGATAAATAGTAAGACCTAGTGCTAGGTAATTACTTAATTTAATAAAAAAAGGCACGTATTACATTTTGATAACTCTCAATATAATTTGTCTCTTGTATCTATTTAATTTCATGCATTTACAAATATTCTGAGAAGGGTTCCATAGATTTCACCAGACTGCCCAGAAGGGTCCATGGCACAAAAAAGGTCAAGATATAAAATGTTCCCATTCTAAGTCTATATACTATGCCATATCTTTGTATCTCTCATATCCCTTTGCTTAGTACTCATAAGGCAACACCTTATGAGTAGCCATATAATCTTGGGTACTGGAGAGGGAACTCTAAGAAAGACAGAGACCTTGAGGTGAGAATGAATTTCAGTGTACTCAAAGGCCCGTGTCCCATCCCTTTTCCACTCTTTCCCCTCAGTCATTGGCCTTTTGAGGTTCCCCATGCCCTGCTCTGGTGATATTAGGCTAAATGTTGAGGCCAAATCCAGCCAATGGGGGTCTCATTCTCCCTACCTCACAAGGGCCTCATTCTATGGAGGTAACTGGATTGGCAGGAAGCCTAGGGTAACACTGAGTCAAGGTGGCTAACCTTGTCCGTCTCCCACTGGAGTACTTGGCTTACTTGTTCCTGCCTTCAGGGCCTTTCCTGTTCCATTGTCAATCCTGAAATAGATTTCCTCCCTGGCTCCCTGGTGAGATTTATTTACAAAGTTGTTCCCCAGGCTTGCTCCTCATCAGAATTGTTTAGTTGGCAAAATGGCTGTCAGGCCCCTCTTCCCCACTAACTGACCCTTATGCTCAGGAAAGGCCTAGAGGTGTCAAAGACTGATAAGGCTTAGTGTATTACCCACTCCATGAAGATTTGCATCTTTGACAATTCTATTTTTGGTCCCCCTCCCAGCCAGTATTAGTGGTATGTGAGCATACTAGAAAATGAAGGGAGAGCACACTTAAAAGATCACTGCCCAAAAATCAACTAATTTACACTTGGGTGTAATTCTAATCTCTATGTGCATAACTTTTTACAAAGTTGAGCTCATGTAATCTGTTGCTTACTCTTCCTCACTTAAAAATACCAAAGTATATTCCCTGAGCTTGAAATAGTTTTCATAAATATTTTATATGACCATGTAATAGCCCATCTTGTGGCTGTATCATATAGATTACTTAAGCAAAATGTCCCAACAATTTAAAAACTAATCCTTGATTTCTTTTAATGGAGGGTATATATATTTTTTTATTTGATCCAAGAGAAGTTTAGCACATTGGTTTAAATTGTGACGTTTGGACTTAGATCTGAATACAAACTCTGTCTTTCCCACTTACTAGTGATGTGACTCTAGACAGATATATATTTCTTCATAACCAATATGGAAGTAATACTCTACTTCACAGGATGATTGTTGATATTAAATGGGGTAGTGCATATGAAGCACCTAACGATTAGTCAGTCACCAAACCTGAAATCTGTGGCTTATTTTTGCTGTTACTGCTGTTACCACCACTGCCAAGGTTTTAGCCAAAGGAACAAATCTCTACTGATGAAATTTCAGCTATCATTGACTTGGTCTAGGGGATCTATCTGTAAAGGTGGAAAGTACTTTGCCTAGTGCCTATGAATTCCTGTGTGCGGCTACCTGTTACATTCATCTGGGCCTGTCTCTGTTCCTTTTCCAACTGCTGACTTGACTTTGGTAGCATTTCCATGTTGCCCACACCTACCTCTGTTGAGGCCCCTTTCTTTTCTTGTGCCTGGGGAGACCACTGCGATCAATACAGGAAGTGTTAACAATGCAAGTTGGTATATAGAACCATAGACGTCAGCACTGAAATGGTCCTGGGAGATCACCTAATGTAATTGATCCCCCACCCCATTCCTGCTCTTGCACAGATGAGGTAACTAAGGCCCAGTAAGGGGATAAGACATCCAAGGTTGTAGACTGAACCACTTAAAGTGCTAGGTTTGGAAACCAGTGTTCTTTATCCTGACCTTCACTTGCCTCTGCAAAGGCCAGAACTATAAATATTCCAGGCTGTAGGTCACAGATGGGGAGAGAATGCTGTGAGCATGGAGCTGGCTGGTATAGGTGGGACAGTCTTCCTGGAAGAAAAAGTATAGTCAGCACTTGCTTTCTCTTGATAGTAGGCTGATTTGCATTAACTTGTTTGCCCCTTGGCAAGGATTTCTTTGTGGCTCTGTTTTTTGTGTTCTGTAAGCTGGTTGGGAGCTGGGGGTGAGTTATTGTTTGTTTGTTTCAATATTCTCCCTTCCAACCAATGTCTAAGTTGCTCAGGGTCACAGCATAATAGGACCCTTTTCTGTGGTTGAACAGAGACCTTTGTCCCAGGCTCTGCTGAGCACAGAGGCACACAACTAACTTGCCTTCTTTGATCTCATCCTAGATTAATGTGCGTGTGACCACCATGGATGCAGAGCTGGAGTTTGCCATCCAGCCCAACACCACTGGCAAGCAGCTGTTTGACCAGGTAAAGAAGGAATTTGATCCTTAGCCTCTTCTGTTTCTCCCAAAAGCTCCCGTCACATACACATTTCTTGGTAATCTCTTCTCCTACTTGTACTTCCAAGATAGGTTTAAACAAAGGCTGGCCCCAGCCTTAATAAAAAAGGAGGCAAAGTTTAACTTTGGCAGCCCACACCTAGGATACCCCTAGTTAATCCTATCTGTGGTCCTGAACGTGGTAGGAAAAAAAAACAGTGAGCAGGGTATGACTCTGTGCTAGATACTCTAAAAATGTTAGTTCACAGAGCCTTCTTTTCAACTCTAAAATCTGTAAGTGATCCCTTCTCTCTTTTAATAATAAGGCTCAGAAATTAAATAACTTAATTGTACCTAGCTAGTATCTGGCTGTGATTGGAACACCACACTGTAGTTACTGTACCACATGGCCTCTGTCACATATTATTTTCTTGCTAGTAGAAGGAAACCAATTTATTCTCCCTAAGATAGTGTGCTCTATGTATATTTCCCTCAAAGGAACATTGGGATTTAAGACACAGCTGGGGATGATGAATGCAATAGTAGGGTACTTTATCTCTTGCAGTCATGCCATGGAGATAGTATTAATGTGGTCATTCCCATCTCTCACCCAAGGGGTATACCTTTACTGTGACTAACTATTATTAGAAGGGCTGTGCTATGTAATATAATAGCCAGGTGGGGGCCATAGAATCTTTCAGTATTCAAAGAGTCTCCAGGGATTAAGGAAGTGTGTCATCTGTGACCAGCCTTCTAGGTGCAAAAATGGGTCTCCCATTTCCAGAGGCTGGGATTCTTCCAGACAGGCCATTATCCCATTTTCTCATCAGCCTCTGGTGAGGTGGTGGTGGGGTCTGACATTGTCCAGGATTTTGGAACCACATGTCACCTTGATGAGTTTTCCAGGCCCTCTTGCTTTCCTTTGTCCTTTGTGCTCTTTCTGAGTCCCTCTACTTTTCCCATGAGTTGGGAATGGGAAGGAAGAAAGACAAAGGAAGTTGTATTCAAATGAAATTATTCTATTCCTGTGAATACTCCTGATTGGTGAGGAGAAAAGAAGGAGAGAATGGATGTGGGGCTGGTAGGGGACTGTTTCCATTCAGGTCTCCATGTAAAAGGGAAGGGATGGCTAGAAATCTGGGGACAGCTTGGGCATGCCCCTTAAGTCCCTGATGTCACATGGTAGAGTGGGAAAATTGTTATCTATGGCTAATACAGATGAAAGTTAACATTTGTCCAGGGATTACTGTATGTTAGTTACTGTGACAGGCATTTTGTGTACCATTTGACCATTAGAAAGCCCTATGAGTGCAGGACTTAGTACTGGCCCCATTTTGAGGAAACAAAAATCTTCATTTTTCTAGCTATGCCTTGGGGAAATTATTGAACTTCTCTGGGTTTATATTCTCATCTGAGGGGGTGAAAAAGTGGGTCTAATACCTACTTTATAAGTTTTTTGTGAGATTATGAAAAAAGTATTTTATATCTCACTTGTTACCCAAAAAATTTGTTATGGTGGTTTATAAGGATACATAAAATCCAAAAGGATATATTAGAAATAGGTGAGGATGATAAGAAAATACAAATAGGGAAGTGAGTGTTATGTGAAGCATCCATCGTGTACTAGAGATGTAATAAATGATAGCTGTCAAATGCCATGACATTGTCTCAATCATTTAGAATTGGGAGATGAACTTGATGATCCTCAAGAGTGTCTAATTTTGGATTTAGCTGGAACTTGCTTTTTTTCTGGAGTTTGTTTTAAATGGTGAAGTGTAATCATTGATATTTAATTTGTGGAAGTTCAAATTAGAGGAACATTTAAACATACATTTACTATAATTAAAGTAATGTGCTGACATTCACATAGCTTGCAAGTAATTTCAATGCTAGTCTGGAATGATTGAATGCATATTGATCACATCAAGGTTTTGCATTCTCCCTTTGCATGCAGTTTTTATATTGCAGAGCTTTTAAAGTGACATCCTGGTGAAGATGAAAGGGCACTGGATAAAAAGTTAGGAATCCTGGGTCCTATGGTTGGGTTTACCACTAACTCTCCTGATACTTTACACAAACCTTTCCCTCCCTTGAGCTTCAGTCTCCCCATCTTTACAGTGTCTAACTGATCTCTCAAATATCCCTGTATCTCTGAAATTTATCTCTGGCATTTATTTCTGTATTCCATGTCTCTTCATTTCCATTTCTAACCCCACTATTCAGATTTAAAATTGACCTTTTCTATAAAAATGAGAGAAATGCCTCAGTTGAGTATGACTAGCAGTTGGCATATACCAGCAGGTACAGGCGGTAGCTACCTATTAGGGGACACATCTATTCATGGATGAAGTGTTCTTACTGTGTCTGGGACAAAAGGGAGAAAGTATTAATATAATATGTAGGCTGTTGGGCTCTGGGCAGTAGCTATAGAGGGAAGAGTATCAGCCAGTGTGGATTTTATAGTCCAGCTGGGAACCAGAGGCTTCTTTGGCCTCTACTCAGACTCCTTCCCAGAGCCCTGGTTCTATACCCAACTCTCTCAAGCCAAATGATGTGATCCTCTGCCATCAACACTGGGTACTTTGTCCATTTGCATTGGAGGGACATAGCTGTGGAGGGTGAAGAAGACATAATTTAGAGCCTAGGGCAGAAAAATCCTTGAACAAAGAAGTTTATTAACTTAGAAAAACCACAAGGCCTGGTAATTTGTTAATGTTGGTTTGGTTTGTGTACTGTGGGTGTGGTTCTGAGGGAAGCCCAGATGTTAGGGAGCTCTGGCCAGATTGATGTGCTAGTTTTGAAAGTTACTGCTTCCCAGACAAAGCCCTTGAGATACTTGACTCTTTCATACTTGTTGGGAAAAAGAAAGTGTGAAAACCAAGGAAATTCATGACTTTTCATCTAAAAGATCAGTGTCTTTTGAGAAATATCATTCATTGAGCACCTACTATGGACTAGCTCTTGTTAGGTGCTTTAATCCTTGCAGTGATCCTGCCTTTAAGAGGTGAAAGAACCTCCTTAGTTTATGTAGTTAATAAGTTGTGACATGGAGTCTCAAACAGTTCTGACTGTAAAACTATACTTTCTTCCCCACTGCACTACTCTGCTTGGGGCAAATGAAGCTGTTTGGCTTAGAGAAAACTCAAGATGTGTTCTGTCTTGAGATCTCTGAGGTGCTGTTGTAGGAAGGAAGGAGCAGCGCTGGGGCCCCGTAGATAAAAATGACACGGAAAAGGAATTGAGCATCTGGCACACAACTTAGATGGGAATCTGCAGAGGTACGTGTTCACAGGCCATTGGAGGATATGCTCTCTTCTCTAACTTGATGAGGCATAAGGGAGGAAGTCCATTCTGTCTGGCTTCTGAGACCCATCATTCAAGGGGTCCCTCCTGGTGGAACCAGGGCATAGGAGGACGGAGCTGACTTTGGGGCCTCCTGGAACTCAGTAGCTGTCTGGCGGATGACCAGAGCGGAAGTTGACTAGAGAGAGGAAGCACACTCCTTGGCACCAGTGATAAATAATAGGCAACAGTGGGAATCCGTAGCCTGAAGAGACCCAAGAATCCATAGTTTGAAGAGACCCTTTTCCCTTGGTGGGAAAAGGAAGTAGGGCCCATGGTTTCTCCTGTTTACCTTTGTTTCTTGTGAGTGTGCTCATTGCTAGGGAGGAGAGAGAACACATTTTGCTACAGCAATTCTGTCACTTGCCTTCCCTACCGCCCAGCTTCTGAAGCCTGCAGTTCTTGAGAAAGCGCTTGATTACCCAACATTAGGGGGCAGTGCTGCATCATGAGTTTCAGAACTATCTGCTAGGCTCCGCCCCAGCTGGAGTCTCTAGCTTTAACTTTGGTGTAGCTCGCCACTCCAAATTTTGTTCTCTGGAGGAAAGGTGAAATCTCAGAGCATCCATTCATTTATCTATTCACTGACTGATTTAGTACTGACTGAAGATCTATTGTGTTTTGAAGAGAACCATTTTACTGAGGAAAGCAAAATCCTTGACTGCCACCAAATCCCATGCTATAATTTCAGACACCTTTCAGACACCATCTCTGCCCTTCAGGGACTTGGAGTTTCTTAATCTATGGAAGCACAGAAAGGTACATTCAACTCCCCTTCCACACAGTATGAAAGAAACACCCTTGAGGCTCAGGTTGTATACAGAGGTGGTGTATAGTGTATAAATTATTGCATGGGATTTGGTGGGAGCCTCAGATTCAAATTCTGTCCAGCTGTTTAGTTGTGTGATCTTGGATGTCTCATTCAGCTTCTTAGGACTTTGCTTTCCTCAGTAAAATGGTAGTCACACTAATATCAGAGATTTTGTGGTTTTATTTAATTTTCAAATGACCAAAGTGCCTGGTGCATAAGCAGGCCATTCTGATGTTGGTTCTTGTTAGGGCTAAACAGGTAGGTGGAAATTGCCCTGGGAATTCAGATAAGGGAGCCACGAAACCAAGAAGCCTTTCTGGCTCAATAAAGTTCTTAGGATTTGTGGACTCTGCATTGAAGGCAGCGACCCTTTCTTCTCTTCTATTTCTATTTAATAAGGTAACTACTATCTATTATTATAATAGTAGTATCCCTATCTTATAGATGAGGAACTGAGGCTTAGGAAGGGAAAAAGACTGATTAAGTTTAGAAAGCTAGGCAGTGGTAGAGTGGCTTGAACCAAGGCATAGAGCATTTCCACTTTTCTCAGACCTCCCCTTTTTTTGCCTGTTCCTGTTCTGAGTGGAGGAAAGTTTGGTCCCTAAACTTAGAACTGCAGCTGAGTATGTTCTGTGTTGTGGAGCAGGTGGCCACTTGAGCACAGGCAGTGTAGAGTAGCAGAAGCAGCGATGGTGACAGCCTGTCCTGGAACTTTACAGTTGTGCATTGATTTTCTTGTGGGTGGGTGGTTGATGAAGCTATTGCCAAGCCTGTAATAGGATCTCAATGGACCTCAGGTGTTTGGACATTGATGCAATTTTACACATAATTTCTCA